TTAAATGATTTTAGCAAATGGCTGCAATATAACAAAGAGTGAAAAATTTAAGGGGGTCTGAATACTTTCCGTACCCACTGTATATTATATATTATATGTATTATCAACATATTTTTTGTCTGTTTCAAAAATAAATAAATACATAATCTGTTTATAGCACGCAGCATATTTCATAAAAAATCTGAAGACTGTAAATAGGTCATACGGTTATATGAAAAGCCCAATTGTAAACTTACGGTGGCGCTAGAGGGTTCGAGTGAGAGAGCCCAAAATTGGTCAGATTGATGTTCAGACCTTCACTAATGAACGCACCAAATTTGGCTCCAATGAGGAAGTATAATAAGAATACTAACAGAAACCGGTTGCTAATACATATCCATTCCTAATAGATATGCCCATGTTTTTCAATCACATGCAACTTATTGATCTGTCCTCACCTCCGTGGTAGATTCCAGCTGTTGGAAGCTGCTGTCTGTCGTTCACTCTCCTGTCCCTCTCCATCTTCTCTCTCTGGAAGATCTGAGGCCATCTGACTAAACACACAAACACAAAGCTCTCATTTTTTGTCCATTTTACAGCTCTACGAGTCAATGAGAGCTGACAGGATGAAGTGTGAGTGGAGTACGTACTGTTGAGTGTTGTTTTTGCCATCAGAGAGATCATCACTCTGGAGCTGCTGGCTTGCCCTGTATTCCTCTAAATATTCTGCAGGAACATACGTGATTCTGCACACACATAATCATAAGATTCATAAGCTATGATGACATTTGACTCATCAGACCTGTCATCAACACTGGTGGAATCAAACTCCAAAGGAGTCTCCCAACTTAAACTCAATCAACAGCATTTGTGACTTAATGGCCACAGAAAATAGTTTCCAAAAATGCAAAAGTGAGTCAATCAACATTATGCAACAAATGCATTCAATTGAGCTTAACTGTCATTGATGCACATCTTGTTTTTCTGAAGTGGGTAATATATGTGATATAGTCTGCCCAAGGTGAAATCATTAATCGATCATGTGATTGTCAACAGCAGCCGGTGTTTTACAGGTTAGTAAATGAATGCCCCACAACAAGACATTTTTCTTTTCTTTTTCTTTTGCATTGCATTGCATCCAAAAATTCAAACCAAAAAAATCTGACTCAACAGCGAGCCTGATAATTTAGCTTGAATTTTCATGTTTCCGGATCAGGAGTCAAAACAGAAATAGTTTGTTTGCTTCATCAGTTGACTGTAAGTGAAGATGACAGATCTAATGGAGGAAAATCAAAACTTATTTTGAACAATCATGCATGCAGGCGGAGATATCAAGACATTAGGAGTCACGGCACATCGATGTGAATCAAATATTCATTATCCACACATTCAGTGAAAACGCTTCATTAATGAACGACAATCGATGGCTGGAAATCAAATCACTGACATGAGAGAGATGTTAGTCAAAGATGAACAACACAATACACACCATGTTAGGAGGAAAAGACGGCCTGGAATGTTAACGATGAATGACAGCCTCGTGAGAACACGAATGCATGTTACCAAGGAAACAACAACCTGCTCAAACGCTGCTTGATGAGGAAGCGCAGCATCCTTGAGTTTGACTGGAATGAGTGTTTTACATTAGTAGGGTCAAACCTACTATGCAGTACAATTCAAATTTACCTTAACAAATCCTATCGCAGCTTAATGTGAAGATAAACCTACAAGTATGCCATAAGGAAGCCATTTGTAGGTTGACTCTCTCAAAAAATGTAATCACTCTGGTAACAATCATTAGTTTTGCAATTCTGTGGTGTAGACCTCACACACTTCAGCTTTAAAATTACAATTCATTAGTGAATTTTCAGCATCCATTACTCCAGGCTTCAGTATTTTATCAATGTTCATAACAACTGTGCTGCTTAATATTTTTATAATAATAGTTTAATAATTGTAACAGCATTTATGTGAAATATAAATTTGACTTTACTGCCACTTTTAATTCCAACAGTATATCTTTGTGTATAATATTATATACAACACTGATTATTATTATTTAATTGATTATTACTGTATTTGCATGACAAGATACTTTGAGTATTTATTCATCTTTGTTAATGTTAGTTAATGAAAATACAGTCGTTCACTGTTAGTTCATGTTAATTCACAGTGCACATTAACTAATGTTAACAAGCACAACTTTTGATTTTAATAATGCATTGGTAAATGTTGAAATTAACATTAGCTAAGATTAATAAATGCTGTAGAAGTGTTGCTCATTCTTAGTTCATGTTAAATAAAGTAGGGTACACAAAAAGGTACTGCAGAACAGAAAGGACCCAATAATGCATTGAGCAGAAGAAAGCAGCTCACACAGGTTTGGACTGACGTGAGGGTGAGTAAATGAGGACAGAACTGCTTCCAGTCTTTGCGATTAGAGGAGAATGGAAGCAGGGCTGCGGGCGGCCCGAACAATCAGATTCTCCAAAACCTCTGCAGCGACAGAACAAAACGAACGCAAGCAGGGAGCGAGGACAGACAGCGTGATGCAGGCAGTACTCACACAGAGACGGGGCTCAGCTCTTCCCCCGCAGCACCTGTGGATCTGGAAACGTGAAGAGCAGTTTACGGACACAGACGCCGCTGGCAGCGGGAGGCAGAATAAAGCGACTCACTGCAGCTAGAACAAGCTCTGGATCACCGCTGGGCACTGATAAGCCTTGTTTTATGACTGTCTGTTTCACCTTTTATTGTGAATGTAAATCCTGAGTTCTGCTGAGATTGATGGCTCTATTGAATTGGCAGCACCCTTAAAATACGCCCTGATTGTACATAAACTCCATTATAATGGATTTTTCTTCCATTGGAACGACTCAAGCTTGAAGTGCCACCGAAATGTAACCCTGGCTGACAAGCTAGATACACCGACTGTACAGTTTGGAGTGGGTAATGTTTTTTAAAAAGGTCTCTTCTGCTCACCAAGGCTGTATTTATTTGATCAAAAGTAAAGTCAAATTGTGAAATATTATTACAATTGAAAATAACTTTTTTCTATGGGAATATATAGTAAAATGTAATTTATTGCTATGTTTTCAGCATTAGTGTGTGTGTGTGTGTGTGTGCGTGTGTATGTGTTAATCTCTGTGAGTGTGCGTGT